GGTAGGGCTGGCCAATCTGTTTCTGGGTTTGAACATTCATAAGGTATTTAATAATGCAAATATAGCAATAATTGCAATAATATTACTTGCTAATGTTCACTGAGTTTCACTCTGTGCTAGGCACCGTGCCAGCTGTTTGCCTGGGTATCTCATTTAATCTGCAGGGCTGCCCCAGTGCTTCTAACCTCTAAGGCAGAATGCCAGATCTTAGCTCATGATCTTGGCCTTCCCCATCTTCAGCTCTATCCTTGAAGTAGGACTTACTCCCAAAACACTGGTTTTCATTTCAGTCTTCCATTTAGTAGGTGCCCTCATGTACCCCAGTGTCCACAGACAGCATTTGTTAAACTCTTCAGTAAATGGACCCAGGTGTCCTTCGTGGACTCAGATTCCAGGGGCAGGATTTTCCATGCAAGTGGGTGGAAATGAAAGAGTAGTTGAGAAGGGAGCCTTGTGGCCTTTGCGGCTCTGATTTCACACTCTACTCTGGGACCCTTGGCTCTAGGCATGACCGATGCTGTTTATTGCTCTGTTACCTTCGCTGGAGGGTGCACTTCAGGCTGATTGTTCGTGGCCTCTCTGTTTCTGTCACTTTTTTTTTTGTACCTACTGTAGGACTTTAGGGTTGGTGGGGACCTCAAAAATTCTCTCAACCAAGCTTTCCCCAGACCCCCAGGGCATTGCAGGAAAAGACAGGGCTGCCAGACACTCCTCTGATAGAGTATCAACCATTAGAGAAAAATCCAGCCATGACCTGCCCTCTATTGGTTACAGGGATTTCATCCAGGCGTCATGTAACTTTTGCATGCCTCTGGTGTTAGAATAAAAGAATAGGAGGGGATATATGTATACTTACGGCTGAATCATTTTGGAGCTTTGACAGAAAAACAACAAAATCCTGTAAAGCCATCATCCTTCAATTAAAAAAAATTAATAAAAAAAAAGAATAGGAGGAATAGCTGGTAAGAAGTCGATGGTAACTATAGCCATAGCCTTAAGGTGGGCCTTAAGAAGTTTCTTAAAAAAAAGTTTCTTCTGAACAAATATAACATAGCTTTCAGAGAGGATGGATTCCTCCAGTAAACTAAGGATCTAGAAGAAAAAGTGCTTAGAAAACTCTGAGTCAGAGATCTTATCAGTGCAGAGTAAGTCAGAAGTCAAGTCAGAACTTCAGATAACACACACCAATTCCTGGAACTTAGTGATTTGCTATTTCTCTTTGCATGAATTTATCACTTTCTATTCCACTTTCTATTCCGTTCCTGCTGGGTTCATCTCTCGTCCCCCCGATACCCACTCCATCCATCCACCACAGGCTGCATGCTCCACCACACCTTGTGTTCACGGTATTGCCACCTGCCCCGGGCCTCTCCTGGTTTCTACTGCCAGTGACCCAGGGCCACTAAGCTTGTTGATCGGCTGTGGACATGGTCTTGAGCCTAACCTCAACCCTGTCTTCCTCATCCCCCCACTGGAGACCCACAGGTGGTTGTCTCCCACCCGACACATTCCCATCTCACTGCTCACATCTGCCACGTGCCCACCTCTGATGTATGCTCTCTTTTCTCCAAATAGGCCTCACTCAAGCCACCCGGCCCCACTTAGACTCACTTCTCCCTCCTTCACCCCCAGCATCTCCAGCACTCCTTTGGCACATGACCTGTACATCCTCACAGTCTTCTATTTGTTGTCTTCTCCTATTTAAAGGCAAGGACAGGGGTCTATCCACATCTCTACAAGTGACCCAGTTGTGTTCCTTTTTATGGCTGAATAGTATTCCATTGTGTATATGTCCTAGATCGTCATTATCCATTCCTCTGTTGATGGACATTTACTTTGTTTCCATGTCCTGGCTACTGTGAACAGTGCTGCAGTGAACATTGGGGTGTATGTGTCTTTTTGAATCATGTTTTTTTCATACAGAGTGAAGTCAGAGAAAAACAAATATTGTATATTAACACATATATGTGGAATCTGAAAAGATTGGTATAGATGAGCTTATTTATTTACAAAGCGGAAATAGAGACACAGATATAGAGAACAAAACAAGTATGGATACCAAGGGGGATGGAGGAGGGGTGGGATGAACTGAGAGGTTGGAATTGACATATATACATTACTGTATATAAAATGGTGCTTCCTAGGTGACTCAGTGGTAAAAGAACCTGCCTTCCAATGCATGGGGTGCAGGAGATATGGGTTCAACCCCTGGGTAGGGAAGATCCCCTGGAGGAGGAAATAGCAACCCACTCTGGTATTCTTGCCTGGAAAATCCCATGGTGGGCTATAGTCCATGTGGTCGCAAAGAGTCAGACATGACTGAGCACACAGCACACACATGTATAAAACAGATAACTAGTAAAAACCTATTCTATAACTCAGGGAACTCTACTGAGTACTCTGTGGTGATCTAATTGGAAAGGAAATATAAAAAAGAGGGGATATATGTATACACATGACTGATTCATTTTCTGTACAGCAGAAATTAACACAACATACTGCAATAAAAATTTTAGCTAACTAATTAATTTAATAAAAATAATAAAGGCAAGAATAGTGGACTTGTTTCATATTCTTTCACTTGCACTCTGTAGCCAAATACACAATCCATTGCAGAAATCAGTCCCAGACAAATGCCTGGAGGCCTAACCAGCACCCCAACCCCCCTCAAAGAAGAATTTTGGAAGAACCTGGCCTTTCCTCATGGGTCCCCCAGCCTCATACACACTGTTGCCCCCTGTAGACAGTCCAGAAAATACCCATGAGAACCTTCAACCACATACCCCAGCTTGTAAACAAGCTAGGTTCTTTGTTTGTTTCTGTTTTGCTTTGTTTTTAAGCAAGCATGGGAATCTATTTGCAGAAGAAATTGTGAAAGAAAGTAAAAAATATAAACAGACAATTCAAATGAGCCAGGTCTGTCTCTTTTGCCCCCTTCCCTCCCCTTCGTCCCATTTCCATCCCCTCACTTTCTGCTTTGCTTTTCATGCCAATTGCTAAGGATTGTAATTTCAAAACTGCCCTGGCTTTTCCAAAACTAGGAGGAATGTACATCTGCACGTGGATTTTTCCACCAAAAATCTGTTCCTGTAGTTTGGTGGTTCTTGGCCAGAAACAATCAGAACAGGCCATGGGACCAGCCAGCCCATCTTCACAGTTCTTATTCTAATTTGTTTGTGAGGCTCAGAAGGGGTGGAGGGGGATGGTTTGCGTTTCACCCTGTCTGACAGTCGTTTGATGAGGTTTGCACTCCATTTGTCCGGATGGTTTTTATGGTTTCTTTGTTGTCCGTGGAAAGACTTTGAAAGTCATAATTCTATATCCTTAAACTCTTCTGCTATTCCTGCTCCGTGTCTCCACGGGACTCACAGCGTGAGAAAGGAAAAAGACATTTCCAGCCAGTCGGTTAAGCAGTTTTTGCACAGGGTTAGGGAGGTATGTGGATTCTTTCAAGAAAAGGGTTGGGATCATGAATGTTCAGGTTCAGTAGAGTGTCCACCAAGGTGATCTAGAAGCCTCTTTGCAGTCCAGGTGGGAAGTGTCTCTCCAGCCCCTTGTTTCTTGGTCCAGTCACACCTCTGGCCCTTTTCCTTTTGCTGTGGTCATCACCCAGCTCTCTCTACTATCAACAGAAAAGCTGAGAGGCCAAGGAGAGTCCAGAATGTGCCCAAACATGTGCTGGAATGAGAGGCTGAAGCCACCGCTGGGCCCTTGAGGCACGGCTGTGAGACAGTTTGTCCATGAGCCTTTAATCTAGACATGACCATCTCTGCAGAGCTGTTTAAAGGGTTTTGCAACACAGGCTTTGGACACTTTTTTCCTTTCTAAACTTGTAAGATTATTTATTAAGATTATATTTGTAGAATGCCTTGTAAGAGGCTTCACTTGTGTTATTTCATTTCATCATTACCTGCCTTCATCCCTTGGGGCTGCCGCAACAAAGTGTGATAAGTTGGGAGGCTTATAAACAACACGAACTTCTGACAGTTCTGGAGATTAAAGTCAGGTCATATGCCAGCATGGTCAGGTGTTGGGGGACCTCCCATCTGGATTGAAGGTGACTGCCTTCGTGTTGTGCCCTCATATGGCGGGAGGCATGCAGGCAAGCTACCTCTGTGACCTCTTCTTAAAAGAGCACTAATCCTATTCATACGGGCCCCACCCTGAAGACTTAAATTACCTCCCAAGACCCCACCTCCTATTACGATCACATTGGGGATTAGACATCTGCATATGAGTTTGAGGAGGACACAGATATTCAATTGATAACATTCGCACACCCTTTAAGATGATTAAATCATGTAAAATCTTATTTCCGTATTTAAAAAGAAAAAGTGTTTGGTAGTGCCGTGTCTTTGTTGCAGTACGCGAGATCTTCAGTCTTCACTGTGGCATGCAGGGTTTCTTTTAGATTCAGCATGCGTGATCTTTTTTTTTTTTTCAGTTGAGCATGTGAACTCTTAGTTGTAGCATGTGGGATCTAGTTCCCTGACCAGGGATTGAACCCAGGCCCTCTGCATTGGGAGCACGAAGTCTTATCCACTGGACCACCAGGGAAGACTCTTAATTACATATGGTGAAAAGCTGAGGCCCAAGGATGTCTAGATTCATCCAAGGCCTCACAACAGATGGTGGAAGGATAGAACCTGAACCAGCCCTGTGACTTTTAATTCAGGGTTCTTTCCACCTGTTTGACTCCCAATCAATGTGTCAATGTTCCTTCCGTCCGTCCCCATTTGCCCCAGGGAAATGCACTTCTGGAATTTAGTGATGCTTGAAGTTATTGCTAAATTAAACTTTTCTGGATCACTAAAAGGTTGTTGAGGCAACCTTTCTGAAGAGCAGGAGATGCTGTCGTCGTTGTTCAGTCACTTAGTTGTGTCTGACCCTGCCACCCCATGGACTGTAGCATGCCAGGTTCTCCTGCCCACCATCTCCTGGAGTTTGCTCAAATCCACATCGATTGAGGCTGATGGATCTCTATTTGTTTTTTCCACTAGACCCTTCCTATGACTCAGTCAGGAGAGGAGGTTGGGGCAGTAACATGAATTCTGGCCTCAACAAAAGTAAGTAAACGTCACTCTGTTCTTTGGGAGGAAAACCTTTTTCTGAGGGTGGGGTGGAGAATAGGGTCATAAGAGAAACAAAGAGAAGAGCGAGCATTTTCTTTTTCTGCTTTCCGAGTGGACATCAAAATTAATTGCCAGTGTAGAACCTGTGACTGATACCTAGTCCCAGAAAGATAATGGAACTTTCACTCAGACCTTTGAGTTTTGTTTTACTGCATTTGGCTTTAGAATGTTTAAAGTTGTCAAGTTTCTTAGGACAAGGTTCTGTATGAATGAAAAATCCCTGGATTTTGATTCTGCCATTTAAGTTTCAACAATGACCCTCCATGACTTCGCCTGCTTCCCTAATTGTCAAGATATAATCATACCAATATCTCTACCCCATTTCATGGAATGCTGAGGTGGGGTGGTAACCGGATGAGAAGATGCTAGTGGTATGACATCAATTTGTGTTGAAATCTGACCCAGAATCTCCTGTGGAGAGTGCAGAGGAAAGAATGATTCATAAAGTCCTGACCCAGAATGTGTCAATCTTGCTGTCTCTAGGAGGTAAAATATCAAGCACAAAAATGGATGGTGAAGGGAATTCTTTCAAGATAGAGGTTAGGACTGAAAATTAATGCCCAGGCAATAGCCACAAGCCCTTTTAATAATATGTATTATCTGTTTACTCTACCTCCAGCCTTGGGCAGTGTGGGTTTCACATGGTGAACCAGGTATGGACCAGTCTCTCCAGGAGGGGAGAGGAGTCGAGTGTGCGCGTGCACACACACACACACACACACACACACACCCCTTTCTTTCCGGGTTGTGTCAGGAATGCCTTGGGGACCTGGTTCTAGAGTTGGTTCTAGGAAGAGAGGCAGGATTTGGACCATGAGAGATGGGAAAGATGCCCTCCCAGGAGAGGCGGGGTCAGGGAAAGACATCAAGGTCAACATGTCTGAGAGTCAGGGAGGACTTGGGTTCCTGGAATTTAGGGTGCACGAAGGAAAAAAAAAAGTCTGGAAGGGTAAGGAAGGGGTTCAAAGATGCTCGGACCGTAGATCTCAGTGCTTTAGTCAACAGTGAGTCACTGAGGTTTTTGGATGGTGGGGTAAAGTGGTTTATGGAGATTAAACTGGCTAAATAGCATTTGATGGGTCAGTGAGAAGAGAGAGGAGTGGTGAGGCTGCCAGTCAGATGAAACCAAAGATGGTACAAGAAGCAGCACAACTCTAACATGGAGATGTGACATAATGGCAGGAGCAGCAAGGGTGTCCTAAGAGATGCTGCAAAGAGGGGAGCTCACAAGACGTGGAAACACAGGAGCAGGAGACTGGCACTCAAATGCCACCTTCTCCTTAAAGACCTTTCTTGGTTTTCTATTTAAAAATGAAATCCACAGCCCCAATACCATCAGACATGCTCCTTCTACGTATTTATTGCTGTTTGTCATTGTCTCCCCCATTAAAACGTAAGCTCTGGCAGGAACCCCTTGCTCAGTGCTGGGTCTCTAGCATCGAGAACAGTGCCAGTACATAGATTCTGGATAAATATTTATAACATAAAATGAATAAATGAGTAGAATGACTGAGTGAGTGAATGAATGAGAAAGCACATTTGTCCTCCTCGGTGCGGATGTGCTTGACGAGACCTTCCCTCCCCCTTCATGGAGAATGGCTCCACTTAGCATATTTCTCTTCTTGCTGCAGGTCCCCCTCTTGCTGGAGCACAAACAATGAGTAAGAATACTGAACAGCGGCCCCAACCAGGTACCTGTCCATGATATTCGAACCCTCTTTTGTTTCCTGTGCGGCCATTGGTGCCACGTGGTCAGCAGAGGAGGATTTAGACAATATCTTGTGTTTGTCATCCCTGTTTTTCTTCATAGAATCTTTTATTTGACACTGTACTAGATCTGTGCATGGCATACCTAGCCCTGGAACATGGAGAGACTCATGACATATCAGAGGTGAAAGGAACCTCAAGATTAACATGTTTCATGTTGTAAAATAAAGAAACGGAGGTCTAAAGAGGTGAACTGATTTGCCAGAAGCCACACGGCTGGATTCGGGGAATACGAGAGCTATCATCCCAGACTCCCAAGTTGCTTCACCTTCTTCCATCCCTGTAATGAATCTCCTTAACAATTAAGGCAGAGCAACTTTGAAAACCATGGAATTGGAGACTCTTCGTATGGCAAGGGAACCTAGAGACATCTAGGTCTACAACATCCTCCTGTAACATCTCAGTCTTGTGATTGCATCATCTCCACTTGAATACTTAGAGCTATGGGAGCTCAATACCTGACTAGGCTCAATTCCACCATTTGAGCCAAAGTTCTGCCAGTGCTGTATCTTCCATTCAAGCTTCCCAGTTTGCCCTGTTTAAAGGTCTTCCTCTTGTTCTCTGTGAAGGTTCTTCATGAATCTGAAGACAGCCATGTGTGCCCTCCCAAGCCCAGCTCAGTCTCTCTATGGGACACAGCTTAGCGTAAGCTCTGAACACGCTGTTGCTTTGGGTTAACAGACTTGGTTTTTCCATCTCCACTGAAGATAAGCAGTAGAAAATTGACCTGCATTTCTTCAGGAAAGATGAGAACTTGCTGACCATGAAACACAAGTCAGATAGAGAGGATCTGACATGGAGGATTTAAAGAAATCCCCAACAACAACAAAATTAGACATTGTCGTTCAGTCGCTCAGTCGTGTCTGACTTTTGCAACCTCATGGACTGCAGCTCGCCAGGCTTCCCTGTCCTTCACTGTCTCTGGGAGTTTGTTCAAACTCATGTCCATTGAGTCGGTGATGTTATCTAAATCATCTCATCCTCTGTCGCCCCCTTCTCCTCCTGCCCTCAGTCTTTCCCAGCATCAAGGTCTTTTCCAGTGAGTCAGCTCTTCACATCAAGTGGTAAAATTACCTTCCCCAAAATACTTTAGCTGTCACAGCATGAGGATAGAAAGGGGTAGACCGAGAGGTCTTAAGGACTCTTCAAGTTAATTTGTGGTTGTGAGCAAAAACCCCAAAATTATTTTGATTTTTTAAAATTATAGTTATAGAAATTGTAAAATTGTATCAAACATATGACATCATCACCAAGCTGTGATCCAGCTCTCTACCATGATCTCAGCTGAAAAGAAGACAGTCCTCACTATGTCAATATTGCAAAGGTTTCTTTTATGGCTAAACTATCACATAAGTTTTACGTAAACTAAGATTTAAGAATAATCATTTTAAGGACTGCCCTGGCTGTCCAGTAGTTAAGACTCCACGCTTCCACTGCAGGGGGCAGGGGTTTGACTCCTGGTCAGGGAACTGAGATCACACATGCCACATGGTGAGGCCAAAATAAATAAATAAAATAAAGAGATATTATCTTAAAAAAGAAATTAAAATGTATATATATAAATATATAATCATTTTATGGCTAAAATGAAAATTCTGGTTGGTTGGTGTCAACATTTCCAAGCTTAAAATCATAGAAGGCTGTACTGGGCGGGGGAACTGGAGAATCCAAGAGCCACACCTATCATTTTGCAAAGGAGAAAAGCAATACCTAGAGACTGTCCACTGAGTTATTTAGCTGATAACTTAGTTGGGCTAGAACCCAGGCTACTTGGTTTCCAAGCATGTGTATTTTATGCTGCATCAGAGAAAGGAAGACATGTAAAGTTGTTCCTAATAGTTAGAGCTATTAAAGACCAGTCAGGGATTCCCAGGTGGTTCAGTGATAAAGAGTCCTCCTGCCAATGCAGGAGACACAGGAGACATGGATTTGATCCCTGGGTCAGGAAGATCCCCTGGAGAAGGAAATGTCAACCCACTCCAGCTTTCTTGCCTGGAGAATCCCACGGACAGAATAGCCTGGCGGGCTACAGTCCATGCAATCACAGAGTCAGACATTACTGAGTGACTGAACAGAACAAAGGCAGTCCCTGGTGGTCCAGTGGTTAAGACTCAGCACTTCCCTCATCAGGGAGCTAAGATCCCACAGGCTGCATGGCATGGTCAGGAGTAAATAAATAAATAAATTTTTACAGAGACTGTTGTAAGACCTGTACAAAGACACTGTTAGACCTTAAGCTCCTTTAATAAGCCATACTTCACCTTATTCATGTGACTGGATATCAGCTAGTTCCTTTCCAATTTTTTTTTTTCTTATTCTCTTGTAGGTAATGGCAGCATTATCTATAAATTTCAGACACTAAATATGAAAAAATGATACTATCACTATTTCGAGTTGTTTCTGTGATAACAGGGATATAGACCATAACTCTGATCATGATCTTTGAGGTCTGCAAATAAAAGCAGTGCAGTTTTCTGAAATCAGGGTTTCCTGTGATATCGAAATAAAAGTAGAACCCTTAGGGGTATTCTTATTGTTAATGCTGTTGTTTTTATATTTTTCATAACAGTGAAGCAAATTTCCTTTCTTGTCTCCTTAGATCCATATCAGATCCTGGGCCCAACCAGCAGTCGCCTAGCCAATCCTGGTGAGTTTACTTTGGCCTGAGAAGTTGTGTTCCAGAATGTTCTATAGCTTTATGAGATCACTTAGGGGTCCTCAGTTCAGACACCTGACTGGGGAGGGACATGTATGCCTTTCCTTGAACTGTTTGACCCCTGTTTCTCTAGTGCACAAGGAAAGAACAGGACTTGTCAGTAGGTGGTGATGATATCCATAAGCTGAAGATGCCTCTGGACCACAAACATTTTAGCCCCATATACGTGCACTGAGGTTGAGATAAGTTTCAGCAGGGAAAGATGGGGGTGGGTGTGCAAGGGCAAGAAACAAGTTCTAGCCAGCTCTCGGTGAATACATATTCTAAAGCTGCCTCAGTCTTCATTTTAGGTAGTATTGCAGCATTACCTGGCTTCATAAAAGAGGTTGCAGATAAAATAAACTTGACAGTGTATGTATTTTAAGGGTTTGTGATTCAGGTAACTCTCAAGCGAGTTCTGAACTAAGAGCACCTCCTGTGTGAGTTAATAGGCCCTTTGGAATTGCGAGGCCAGCACTGTCCCACCAGGGAAGTCTCACTGATCCTGTCTCCAGGCCGTTTCTGCTCAGAGGGTGAGAAAGCCACCAGCTCTCTCTCCTCTTTTTTTTTTTCTCTCTGCCCATGTTCTTCTCTGTGGAACTTAGAGCCGAGAGCCAAGCACAAAGGCTAAGGAGCAGTTCAGGATGCTTCAGCCTAAAGTGCTGTCACACGTTCCCCTGGGACTCTGAGGGAGGCCAGCACTGAATAAGGAGTAGACAGTGACCCAGGCCTTTACAGAAGAAGAGAGGCAAGCGTCTTCCCCCAAAGGGATGGGGCGTGCCTCGCCCCAAGCCACACAGCTGGGGCCGGGTGAATTTCACCAGGCTGGGGGCAGCTTATCTAAAGAGCTAACCTTGCTGATTATGCCAGTCTCGGTGAGAAGTGGACTCTGACTGTAGAAGGAGATCCTGGGGTTCCTGTCCGGGGTGAGTTGGACCCTTGCACGTAGGGATCGGGTTCTGATTTCTCAGGCGGAGCTTCTGTTTTCTCTCTCCTGCAGGAAGCGGGCAGATCCAGCTGTGGCAGTTCCTCCTGGAGTTGCTCTCGGACAGCGCCAACGCCAGCTGCATCACCTGGGAGGGGACCAACGGGGAGTTCAAAATGACGGACCCCGATGAGGTGGCCCGGCGCTGGGGGGAGCGCAAGAGCAAACCCAACATGAATTACGACAAGCTGAGCCGGGCCCTCCGATACTACTACGATAAAAACATTATGACCAAAGTGCACGGCAAGAGGTATGCCTACAAATTTGACTTCCACGGCATCGCTCAGGCTCTGCAGCCGCACCCCACTGAGTCGTCCATGTACAAGTACCCTTCGGACATCTCCTACGTGCCTTCCTACCACACCCACCAACAGAAGGTGAACTTTGTCCCTCCCCACCCGTCCTCCATGCCGGTCACGTCCTCCAGCTTCTTCGGAGCGGCGTCACAATACTGGACCTCCCCCACGGGTGGCATCTACCCCAACCCCAACGTCCCCCGCCACCCCAACACCCATGTGCCCTCACACTTAGGCAGCTACTACTAGATGCTTCCTCATCGGTGGCCTTCTCGCTGAAGCCCCCTCCCTTACACCTCCCATTGGACTTACGTGGCTTTGGAGAGAAAACAAAACTGGATGCTCTTTCTTGTTGAATAGAACTTTTGTACCTGTTCTTTAAAAACAACTCTTCTTCTTCTTCTTCTTTTTTTTTAACATTGGTAACTCCTGCTTTTCTCTACCTTGAACAAAGAGATGGATAATTTCATGGGCCAGTATGCCAGTTTGGAGTCCCAGTCTCCTGTCAACTTATGAGTTGAATATTTAGATTACTGGAATGGTTGTGTCATGGTTCTGGGAAAGAAACTGTATATAGATTCATATTTTTAGGACCAAAAGCAGTTTCTTACCAACACACGGGTCTTATCTTGAACCTTGAAGGGTTCAGTAGGATAAAGAATCATGGACTTAACCAGTTATGCTCTGGTTTGAGATTTAGTGAACTAGAGGCAGGAAGCTTATCATCTTATCTTAGGAAGACCTAACTCAGTGGAGGGCAACTGGAACATTGGTTGTAAGGCCAGTGAAGTTTTCACCCAACTGGAATTTAACAGAAAGAAACAAGTGTGTATTTAAGAAGCCACGGGCATTGCAGAATCCCTCTCAGTGGGCAGTAAATATGCGCTAGGCTGACCATTCTGTCTAGAAGTAGTCAAGATATGAACTAAGAGATGTTAATGCAAATACAGACTTTCCTGAAAAGTCAGAGAATTAAATAACTGAAAAAAAAAATAATGACAGTGGGTCCCAGTACTTTGAAAAGTCCTAGGGATTTTTAAACACAAACAGATTCGCAAGTGCTGTGCGCTTGTCAGACGATCAGTCCAGGGTCCACCAACCACAAAGCAACTTACTGTATAAATTATGCAGAGTTATTTTCATATATCTCACAGTATTAAAAGTAAATAATTAAAAAGTGAAAAAGAGTAAAGAAACGAGTTGACCTCGGTCACAGATACAGTGTTCCTATCAGATCAGTCGTTATTTTTTTTAAATGTAATTTGTACATCTTTTTGTCAATCTGTACATTTGGGCTGCTTGTACGTTTTTATAGCTGGTTTTTTTTAAAAAAAAAAAGCATAATGTGACGTGTTGCAGAAAAGAGAACAGGACTTTGAAGTCACTGACTTACCCGAAAGAGAATCACTGTAATTATTTAACAAGTGAGCAGAAGCGAGTCAAGGCAACCCCTTTAAACCGTTAACTGATTTGGAGATGTTTGTAAATAACTAAACTACAATCATCACAACTTGGAAAACAGCAAGGGATTTTCTGCCTTATATATACAATATATTTTTTAGATATTAAAATATATATAATTTTGCAGGTAATCATTGACTTTTTTAAACTATATTAAGTGTTAAGTTGACAGCTGTCCGTGAAGACTATGTTGTAAAATAATTTGACTAAATAAATTGTTCTTTCTTCTCTCAGAACTGAGGAGAACGTTTTCTTATTTACAACCAACCTTCTGTCCCCTGTCCCCCACCCCAGGTCCAAGGGTTTTCCCAGGGAAAGTTTCCTATTGATCTCTTCTGGCACCGTGAAAACTTTTTCACATGTACATACAGCAGAAGGTATAGAATTATGTGGGTTTTAGTGTTGCTTATATTAGCTCTCTCCAGAGAAACAGAACCAATGCGGATATATATATATGGAACTTTATTACGAGGACTTAACTCATGCAATTGTGAGGGCTGAAGAATTCCCCCGGTCTGAAGTCGGTCACCTAGGGAAGCCATGCGTAGCGTGCTCAGTTGCTTCAGTCATGTCTGACTCTCTGCGACCATGTGGACTCTAGCCCACCAGGCTCCTCTCATCAAAGGATTCTCCAGGCAAGAATACCGGAGTGGTTCTTTACCCACTACACTGCCTGGGAAGCCCTCAAGGGAACCCAGTAGTGTGTGATTCAAGGGAATCAGGGAAACCGGCTGATGGTGTAGATCTCAGCTCAAGGGCAGGAGAAAAGTCCTGCCTGGGCAGACAAGGAGAGAGTCCAGAGGGTGAATTCCTCCTTCCTCTGCTTTTCGCTCTATTCAGACCCTCCGTGATTAGAGGGGGCCCTCTGGCCTGCACTGGGGAGAGGAGTCCTCCTCAATGAATCCACACATTCAGTGCTAATCTCATTCAGAAACACCCACACTTATATACCGGAAATACTGTTTAATCTTGGCCACAGTCAAACTGATACTTAAAATTAACCTTTACATTGTTGATGATGTTTGCAGAGATTTTTAAAAATATTTAAATCTTTCTCCAGCCTAAAAGGGTTTTAAAGGAGGACAGCCAAGGCCATGGATATGTATCCAGGAACCAGAACAAAGCAAGCAGATCCATCCAGGGTAGACCTCATACCTTGGACTTCACTCTTGCCTCCTTGAGCATCTCCAACACAAGTGGCCGTTCCCCCAACGGATCCTCCAGCAGAGAATAAGGTGGTCCAGCTTCCTCTGGTCCTGTGCCAGGAGTTTAGGGCTCATGCAGATTTTTAAGATCTTTTTTCTTCCCAGGGAAGAAATTCACCTCAAATTGTTTCACTGTGAGTTGGCTCATTTTCATTTCCTCTATTTCACAATGAAAATGAATGAGCCCTGGAAAGTCCTTGATGTTGTGAGAAAAAATTAGACTCACAGCCTTGGTCACCCAGTAGACTTCCTAGGGTGACACTGAGTACCTTCTAGACAACTTACCTACTTAAAACAAAAGGGAAGGTTGAGGGCAGGAAGAGAAGGGGGTGACAGGATGAGATGGTTGGATGGCATCATCGACTCAATGGACATGAATTTGAGCAAACTTCATAAGACAGAGGAAGACAGGGAAGCCTAGCGTGCTGCAGTCCATGGGGTCACAGAGTCAGACACAACTGAGCAACTCCAACAACAAAATGAAAGGAGACACGTTTCAAATTTTAGTGTCTAAATTTTTGATACTTGATCTTAGCCAAAAGGCCAAGAAGCGATGTGTCTAAATATTTTAATGTGCACCCTACCATTAAAAAATATAAGTAAATATTCTCATTATATGCACGTTAACTTATAAAGCATGTATAAAGTAAAAGTCAATCAGTCATGTCCGACTCTTTGCAGCCCCATCAACTATGCAGTCCATGGAATTCTCCAGGCCAGAATACCGGAGTGGGCAGCCATTACCTTCTCCAGGGGATCTTCCCAACCCAGGGTTCAAACCCAGGTCTCCAGCATTGCAGGCAGATTCTTTACCAGCTGAGCCACAAAGAAAGCCCAAGAATACTGGAGTGGGTAGTCTATCCCTTCTCCAGAGGGATTGTCCTGACCCAGGAATTGAACCGGGGCCAGGTGGATTCTTTACCAGCTGAGTTACCATTCTCATTATATGCACATTAATTTATAAAGCATATATAAAACTTATGTTATTATTTAGCTTATAAAACAAACACAAAATAGAAAATTTTTAAGAGTGATGGAAAAAGAAATTAAAGATGGAATTCTAATTGTTTCTTCCTACTCTCATTGTATTGCACTTCTCTCACTGTCAACACTCAATCAACAAGGATGTTAGTCTTTAGAGGAATAAGTTTGTATGTATACTTCTATAGGGGTTTCCTAGTGGACTTCTAAGAAAGCAGAAAATAAAAACTTTATATAAGTGACCTAAGCATAGAAAGAGAAATAATAAAGGCCAGGGATGTTTCAGAATAGTCCAGCTGGATTTTCTTGCAAATCTCTTATCTCAGGCAAGCAGTTTTCTTACCAATTCTGAAACCTGCTAAGTAGTCATTAGGGAAAATCAAGGCACACACTTCTGACTTCTGTGAGAAAGATGGGATAGTAAGGCATTGGAGGTCATCCTTTTAAGAGGTTTTCTTAATATGCCCTGGCTATATTAATAAGCACTGGCTAAGGTCCATCGCCTTTACAAAGTCTTAGAATTTGATCTAATATCGCCCCTAGAATTTGTTTCCCAAACATTTATTCTACACTTAGAAACCTGGTCCACTTATAACAGGACCAGGACACCATTTCCTCCTTAGAAGCATTTGTATGGAGTGAGGGCTGGCACATATTCCCTGCAATGCTCAGATTTGTGATTTACTAACTTACTACAAGGGAGCTGGCTGATTCGACACAGAGGACAAACACGAACTTCACCGTCTTGGCTGCTAATCCAACTTTCCCCTTCTCAACCGTTCTGTACAGATGTCATGAAGTGCTTTGAGTCTATCAATGCAGATATGTGGAATCTAGAAAGGTGGTACAGATGAACCCATTTCCAGGACAGGGATAGAGGCAGACTTAGAGAATGCATGTGTGGACATGGCACTGTTGGGGAAGGTGAATTGGGAGAGTAACCTTGACACATACACACTACCATCTGTAAAACATAGCTAGTGGGAAGCTGCTGCCCATCACAGAGAACTCGGGTACGTGCTCTGTGGTGACCCAAAGAGGTGGGAGGGATGGTGAGGCTCAAGAAGGAGTGGATATATGTATACATATAGCTGACTTTCTTCATTGTACAGCAGAAACGAACACAACATTGGAAAGCAGAAGAAAGAAAAGAAAGCAATTAAAAGGAGGCAAAAACACAGGCCAAGCAGAGAGGAGCATGGCAAGCCTGTGGGAAGTTCCAATGGAAACCGTCTTCCCCATAGTTTGAGACACTGCTCAACAGCCCTTTCGAATAAGAAGTCATTCTGTGTGTGTGGCGGGCAGGGAGCGGGGGGGTGGGTGTCAAAAAATATTGTTGACTCCCATACAAGGGAAGTCATATTTTCAATATCTGTTGTTTTGCAACATTCTTAATGGTCAGTGACCACTAGAAATGTAATGACGCCTAAGTTGATTGCTATTTTATTAAACCAATGAAATCTACATGCTCCTGAGCCATCTGTGTGTACAGTGTTTATTTAGTCTCTGAGTATTGCATCAAGTGTGGACCTTCACATGGATTGTTACTAGCTTAGACCAAATGAGAGCATGAGGTTTCCAGAATGCCAGGGCCAAAAAAAA